TAACACCAGGGTTGACCACAAAGGTCATGACAGTAGGGGTTGGCAACCCAGTTGCCCCAGGGTTCAAATCTCCACCAATGTTAGCAGTAGCAGCAGCATCCGTGACAGTTGCCATTTTTGAAAATTACACCAGAATATCAATTTCTGTGTTTCCAGAAATTAAACTTAACACTAGAAAATTCCACAATTGAAAAGTTAATTCAAGATTAGTCTCACCACTAAATCTAGAATCGAACATGGTCAAGAATGTTCCCAGGAAGACTGGAGGGGTCACATCGGTCCCACTTAAAACCCAGTTAACCTTTTAACAAAACTTTCAAGAACATATTGACTCCTAGTCCATGATAAACAATTTTAAGAATTAAATTTTCCTAGGAATGAACTAGGTTAAAACAAACCAAGGTCCAAAATTCTTACAAGTGATGTAAAAATTGCTAACAAATTACATAAGAACAACACCATGAAATATCCAACAATATCCTCAAAAGTTTATTTTTTAGTGACCACAAATATTCTGTCGCCAATTATGTATCTTTGGCAACTAAATTTTTGTTTGGTTGCTAAAAAGTGTCGCCAAAAATGCTTTTTGTTGTAGTGGGAAAACAAAAAAGAATAATGAAATTGTGAGTTAACATAGCTGAAAATGCACAAAGGAATCGTTGGTTTCTTTCCTTTCTCTTTGAGTTAATTTTTTGCTAGTTGTGTTGTTTGTCTCATATCCCACGTTTTTACATCAAATAAATTTGTTATAATAACTATAAAAAATAAAAATTGGTCACAAAATCTAAATCTTTAATATCAAACACAAAAATTAACAATTTTTTCATTGGAATGCAATATTTCAAATAAGATAAATTAAAAATTAAGAAATTTATTGAAATTAATTAAAAAAAGTAATAAATAGATTCTATTTATTGGTGTTGGCACACACTAAACTGAACAATCTTATATCTACGAAAGAGAAAGGAAATAGAAATTAGGGCAAAAATCAAAACCTCAAATCCAAAAACTGTGAACGAAGATTCGTTGTCTCGCGAATAAGAACCGAACCGAAACTTTGCTGATACAATGATACTTCCTCGACAATGTCGAAATTTCCTGTTCAAAAAAAAAGAAAAAAAAGAAAAAAAGATAATGTCTACATTTCGGAGGACTCACCAAACACAATGTCAAACATTAGAAACTAAATTAGAATGCTTCAGGCCTGACCCACTCACTCACTTAGCCCTTGAGCCCTACATGTGTTTGGGCTCTTTGTATTGGGGAACTTACTGATAAGTTCTATACACAAATTTCAAATTTCATCTAATCCCAAAACAAAATATTCGTACCAATTAGTTCTATATATTTTTAATTGTTACCAAAAAATCTTTTTTAAAAAATAAAATAAAACTAAAGACGCTCTTACATCCCACCACCGTCGGACTTCCATCAGACGGTCATTGGAGACTTGCAGGAATATTCAACATCACCGGGAAGTCGTCGGAATATCATCGTAAATTCACCAGAATATTGTCGGAATGTTCTGAACGTCACTGGAAGTCGTCGGAATATTTAGAATATTCACTAGACATTAAGAATATCACCGTAGACTCACCGGAATGTTTAGAATATTGTTAGAAAAAAGAAGAATAATAAACTGAGAAATTAAAGTGAAAAAACATAGCAAAATGTGCTAAATATCTATAAACTGAAAGAAGAAAAAAAAACCTAAGAACAACAAACAACAACAATGAAAAAACACATATGTTATTTTCAATTTTTGTAGGGTTTAAGCAAATAATTTCTAATATTGATCAAACTGAAAAGTAAGCTTTGAAACTGTAAAATGTTGCAGTTTCAAAGTATGATTCTATTAAAGTATTTATCCTTATTAATCAAACTAAAAAATATGTTATGAAACTGCAAAATTTCACAGGTAAAGAATGATTCAATTCAGCACCAAAAAAATTGAAATTATAAAATTTTATAATTTTCACTGCTTGTAATTAAAATTCGAAAACAATTTGTTCAAAACTTGCAAATTTTCTCTATTATAACACGAAAATAGAAGTGTATAATACAAAAAAATTATTAAAACTGAGAGATTGAAGGAAAGAGACAGATATAGAGAGATGCTTGTATTTCGACAATTATTTTTTGATTTTGATTTAGCCGGATCTAACGTAAATCTACTCATTCGTCGGAAACTTATTTCTTTTGCCGTTAGTGAGCACGAAGCAAGGAATTGGTGCTCAATGGTTGCCCGTGAACCTCAATCAATGGTGATCGCCGGTGATTGTAGATTAGAAAGAGAGAAAAAAAAAAGGCGTAGTTGTAATCGTAGTCGTGGTCGTGATCATCACCAATACTAGAGAAAAAAAGATACAGAGAAGAAGCAAAATGTAAGGAAATAGGAGACGATAAATGGGTATAAGATTTTTAGAATTAAATAAAATACACATTTTTTAAAAAGGACTTGCGGGTAATTTGTCCATTTTTGGACTTTTGGGCCGTTCATCTCTAGCCCGTTTATACTATAAGGGCTGGAATATTTGAGGCTCTATTTTTTAGGAAAATTGAGGGGCCGAGGCAAAGGCCTTGACTCACGGCTGGGCCAGGTTCTTTTGCAGGTAAATGTTAATTTTTTTTTATAAAAGATATTAAAATAATTATATTGTGCATAAATATATAGTACTAGTTATGTCCCTATCTGAAGATAGGGTGTAATAAAAAATAAGTAAACAAAAAGAAAAAAAAAATAGAAAATAAAAGGAGAAAATAAAAAAGTAGGGACATTTACATAGAAGTCCTAATTTATGAACTTATACGTCATTAAGTCCTAATTGTGATTTTTCGGACCTTTAAGTCCCATTAAATTGTTAATAGTAAGAATTACCCTTCAAATAATGATTGTTTATCATTTATGATTATCTATAAAAGAACATGATAATTTGACATTTATTTTAATTTTCAAAACTTTAAAACATTAACTTTTAAATTGAAAATTTTTAAAAAAATTATGTGAAAAAAAACTTTTTTTTTGAAAAAATTGAATTATTTTTTTGTGCAAAATTAAAATTTTTGTATCTATATATACATGATGATAGAACATTGATGTGCAAAACTGAAGGGAAAAAAAAACTTTAAAAATGAAAAAATTATAATATTCTCAATTTTAAAACTGAAAAAAAAACTGTTAATATTCTCAATTTATTAGATAGTTGAATCAAACCAATAAGTAAAAGGGAAAAAATGTTTAATCTCATGCTCTAGCTTTTTTTTATCAGTCAGTGAAACAATTATCTGAAATATTACTATGTAAAATTAATAATTTTCCTTGTTTTAAAAATTGATAATATTCTCAATTTTACTAAATAAGATTTATTGATTCAAAAAATCTTAAATAGGATCTAAGTTACTATAACATTTGTAAATAGGACTTTTAGGTAATTAACTTAAAAGAATAAAAAGAAAAGAGAGAGAAAGGTGGGATCATGGAAGGATTTGTGAGAAAAAGAAAAAGTAAGAGAAAGAAGCGGGAAAGTAAAAAATTGTATATGTAAGATATTTTTTGAAAAAAACATCCCAACCATTGTTTTATAGTTTTAACAGGTCTGAGCCGTTCAAATGTCTTAGTAGGATAAAAATATGTTGAAAATTCAAAAACTCTTCTACTTTATTATATAGATTTTTATAATTATCAAAAATAAATAAAATACTTAGGACTTTGTTTTTATAGTTACAAAAATATTTTAATTATTTTTTACATTTAATTTTTTAAATTATTATATGTCAAATACTAGTACAAATTATAACATATTATATGTCAAATACTAGTACAAATTATAACATATTATATGTCAAATAACCACCCTTAGGTGAATTCCAAATAATCACAAATAAACAAAGAGGAAAGACCTCACCAAATAGATGAACCAAAATCTTCTGAATCAAAATTGAAGAAGACCCAAAATAACGAACCAAATTAGCTTCCACACAAAGGAAACAAAAGCTTGAACAAATCAAACACTGTTGACCAATCTTCCCCGCCATTCAGCCCGTTTGACGGCGATAAATCCAAGCCCACCAATCTTGGACTTGCGATAAATTCGGGCCCACTAATCTTGGGCTATTGGGCCTAAATAATTTAGTGGGCTTAAATTAGCTCCTCTTACACTATTTTATTGTTTAATCTTCATATTTTTAATTACATTTCAATGTGGTCCAGTTGTTAACTGTTAGTATTTTAGACAAAAATAATAATATGTACTACTTTTTTTGTTTTTTAGATAGGATAATATGTACAACTTAAGCAGGAATTTTGACAATTCTTGTAAAAATAAATAAATAAATAAATTACACTGATGTTCCATAAGCTGTTAATGAGGTACGCCGGTGTTGGCCACTAAAGCCAATCCCATGATTCTTTTCATTTTATTTGGTTTTCAATAACTTTTGCATCTGAACATTTAGGTCTAGTTTGGGAATAAATTATTTTAATAATTTTTTAAATTTTTACGAAAAGATGTGTAGAAAAAAAAAAGTGATATGACAATTTATAATGACTTTTGAGCCTTTTGACTATAATATTTAATTCCCAAACGAAGCCTAATGAGATTGAAAGTCGCAACTGTATTACAAGTTATATATTTGAATACTAGGTGAGACACACCTATGGTGTATAGTATGCATTTTGTGGCTTTTTTGTCTATTTTAGTTGTGGATTATCATCCACTACGCCAAAACAGATCTTTAACGGCGGTTTTATTCATGGCGGTTACAAGACTGTCGTTAAAAATAAACTTAAAATGGCGGTACAGATACCGCCTCTAAAAATTAAGCATTAACGGCGGTTATGAAAAACAGTCGATAAAAAGTGAGGGTTAATGACGAAAAAACTGTAGGAAACTGAAGGGTCAATCTTTTATGGCAGTTCGTTTGAAGACTGCCGTAAATGTAGTTCACATTTTTTTAATTCCCTCTCAAAAAAAATTGGATTCCCTCCAATTAATTGTTAAATGGCATCGTATTTCTATTTCTTCTTATTGATTAGTTTTTTCCCTTACTTCTCTAACTTCTGGAAGGCTTTGCAAAGTGAGACGAAAAGTCACCATGGTCGTTTGAAGGTCATACGAAGTACCAGCATCAGAGGTCGTTCGAAGCACCATTGTCGCTCTGCAGCAGCATCGTTAGAGGTAAGAGATCTTTGCCTACCTTCTGATTCCCCTATTGGCTTCATGTTGCCTCCATTGGTTTCTTTTTCCATGCTTTTCCTTCTCTTTCTATTGCCATTCTACCTTTGCTGATAGTGTTTCTATTAAGCTATCAATGATTAGAGGAAAGGTAATTTCATTTTAGGGTTTGTTTCAATGGAATCAAGTATCAACTATACATTTCTTAAATCTCCCTCTTATTATTAGTTTTGATACACATACATATACATATATACATATATATATAGGATGAATAAAACAGCTCAATTCACAAGTCTTTTAAGTTTCAATTTTTTATTAAAAAATTACATTTCAGGTTTCCATCTCCACAATGGCCCATTCTTTCTCGGCTACGGCTGTGGCTTTGGCTTTGGTTGTGGCTTTGGCTTTGGTTTCATGCGGCGCTGAAGGTGCCCGTCCTACTGACACCGATGCGGCTGTAGATGTTACAAAGTTTGGTGCTAAGCCAGATGGCGAGTCTAATAGTGCTATGGTAAGTTTGAACACAATCAAAATATGTTATTTTTGCTGCAGTTATTAGCCTTCTATTTATTCGTCTAAATTATAACTCACATTATAATGTTCATTGCATGACAGGCATTTATACAGGCATGGAATGCGGCATGCAAATCATCAACAGGGCCATCAAAGCTTATTATCCCACCAGGGCGATTTATGGTAGGGGAGACAATTTTCCAAGGGCCTTGCTCATCAAAACCTGTGACTGTTGAAATTCAGGGAACCATATTAGCAAACTCTGATATGTCTGAATTTACTGGTAAAGAATGTCTCTTATTTCAAGACGTTGATGGTTTGACAATCTTAGGTGGAGGAATTTTTGATGGGCAAGGTCAGTCTGCATGGCAGTATAGCAATTGTCGTTCATCTGATAATTGCAATAGCCCTTTACCAATTGTAAGTTCAAAGACCTTTTAGGTTAATTCTATAGTCCTATAAAAAAATGCACTAAAAAGATCCTCATTTCTATTGGGGAATGCGAAAACTTGAGATACTAAAAATGATTTTATTATCATCTCACCTCATATATTTTGGTGCAGTCTATTAAATTTCAAAAGGTAACGAATGGCGTTGTACAAGATATCAATTTGGTGAATAGTAAAGGTTTCCACATGACAATCACTAGCTGCAACAATTTTGTAGTTGAACGTCTCAATATTACTGCACCTGGAAACAGTCCAAATACTGATGGCATCCATATTAGTCGTTCTAATCAAGTTCGTGTATCCAACTCTGTCATTGGAACCGGTGATGACTGCATTTCTATCGGTGAAGGCTCAACCAATGTAAATATCTCTGGTATTACTTGTGGTCCAGGACATGGCATCAGGTAAAATCCTAAACAAAATAATCTTTCATGAATTCATAGTCCTTTTCTAGTAAATACCAATTATATTTTTCTAAATAAGTGCTTGAATTATCGTCTTTTTCCAGCATTGGTAGCCTTGGAAAAAGGCCAGAGGAAAATAGTGTTAGCGGAATTTTTGTGTCTAACTCTTCCTTAACAAATACAACGAACGGTGTGAGGATCAAAACCTTCCACAATTCACCTAAAATCGAAGCTTCCAACATCACTTTTGAAGATATAACTATGAATGAAGTTCAAAATCCCATCATTATTGATCAACATTACCGGTCTAAGAAGCACTCAACTGGCGGGGTAATAAATATATCTTAGCTCTATACGTCATGACAAAGAAAAATAAGAAAATACATATAGTAATATATGTATGTGTTTTAGCCAATTTTCATTAGACAATGTTACTAACTATGTTATTAATTAACTTATGTGATTTAGGTATCCCTTGTGAAGATTAGTGATGTTCACTACAAGAATATAAGGGGTAGCTCAATTTCAAATGTTGCAATCACTCTTAGTTGCAGTAGTTCAGTCCCTTGTGAAGGCATCGAATTAGCCGACATTGATATCACCCTTAGCTCCAACTGTTTAAAGAAGTTGTTGCCTCTTTCATCTTCATGCAGCTTTGCTAAGCCAGTCTTCAAGGGTAAACAAAACCCTCCAGCTTGTGAATAAGCCTTTTCGTTTATTGGTAATGTCATTGGCACGTAATTATGACAATTATTGTTATCTTAGTTTTTTGTTTTGGTAAATGTTGTACAAGTTTGATATTTTCCTTTAATGGAATATGTACTATTCTTTTATTTATGTCTTTGAAAGGAGTTACAATGTACTAATCGACGATCACTATTTCTTATAACACAATTTTTTCAAGATTTTTCATCATCCAGACAATTTCTAGAATGGGAAGATTTGTATATGTGGCATTTTAATTTGTTTATAAAAAATTGAATTATGGAATTATTTATCTAATAATCAATATTATGCATCAATTTTTGTCTTGTTGAAGAGAAATGTGGATGTGTAAAAACTATATATAAAATTCACCTCCACTTTGATTTTTTAATTTTGAAAGTATTTTTTTTTTCCTTTTCAAACTCTAATGATTAGTAAGAGTGAAATCATATTCTCACAAAATTAAAAATATACAAATTAAATTATGGAAATGAAAACTGCACAGATTAAATGATAGTTCACCTAAACTACAGCCTACAGGTATTACGGAGGTATTTGAAATGATTTAAATAAGTTTACGTATTTTATTTTTTATAAAAAGATATGTAAAAAAAGTAAAAAGATAATATAACCTAAATAAGTACACTTATATAGGTTATATCAAACACTCTCTTAATAGTGTAATTTACTTAATTTTTTTTTTTATATAAATTTAATGAATAAATTGGGTCCAATTTCATCAAATTTAAATTTAAAGTCAATATAGGTCAATGTTATATCAATCTAAAATGTTTCCTAATTGACCAAACAGTTTTGGATGTAGCGGCGAGTCCTCTGAAGCATACTCCATCATATTCATCGTTCTAGGTTACGATTTGTTTTTGTTTTTACCTTGGCGACAAAGAATGTCAATTGTTAAATGCTCTTCTTGTCCTCGACTGCTCTCTGCGATTCTTCTATGAACTGATCGTCACTGACGAAGACGAAACCGATAAATTTGAGATTCTTAGTAGTAGTAAAAAACAGAGTTACGACGATCTTTCCAAAGCAACGTTATGTACTATGGAGTTGAAACAACAAACACAACGAATATCCTTTAAAATCAAGCACAAATCAGAGAAAAAATCAAATCAATCATCGAAAGCTAGAGCTCACAACAATGTCAATGAATGTTAGAGAGAGAGAGGGTAGAGAGAGCGTGATTGTTGTGTTGGTTGGAACTAGGGTTTCCACGGAGAAGAGTGGAGTGGCGGCGCTCAGGTGCGCTCTGCGTGACGTTGTACGGACGAACGATGAAGTTTTGGTTCTGATTATGATGGATTCGGAGGGGGATGCATCGACGCCGTTGAATGCCGCAGGTGGTTGTTGTTGTATGGGAGATGAACGGTCTGATCAATCTATATGTGAGGAAAGCGATTCGTATATCAATTTTGTACATGAAGAGATCAATCAGAGAAAGGAATTTTACAGGCAGATCTTTAGACCTTATTATGATAGATGCAAAAGCATTGGAGTAAGTCCTTTTCCCATTAATATAACTTACCCACAATTAGCCCAACTTTGTAGGGGTTGAGCTCAACTAGTTTGTTTATCGTGCTTGAAAAATCAGCCAGCGAGTCAAGTTTTATGAATGATCCTAAAAATCTAGTTCAAACTTGTTCATTTACTTAAAGAATTGAGTTGAACCGAGCTGACGAACAACTCAATTGATCTGCAGCCCTAACTTAATCTAAACTCTGTTACGGGGTCATAAACAGAATATACTCACAAAAATATGTAAATAGATTATATCACAGACAGTTGCTTTTTTTGACAGGTTAAGTTTCAGGTGAAGATAGCCACCGGCTTCGAACCACAGGCCTTGGTAGTGGAAGAGGCAAACATCGATGCCACTTGGATTGTCATGGACAGGTCCTCTCTCTTGGCACGGGATCATTTGTTTCCAAAAGTCTTATTTCTCTGTTCCAATACTTTCTCAGCTGCAAGACTACCCAGTAAAATTTTTGTGTTTTGAGAGTCTCAACACATCCTGTGACTTAGAATGCATTGAGAATAGAGGAATAAGAATTTTGTAGACACAGGATTGTTAGCCCCTCTTTCTCCATTCTTACCATAGAAAAAAAATTTGGCCCGTAATTCTTTATTTTCAATTTTTTTGTCCCCTACCTCAATGCACTTCTAACCATTGAATTATGGCTTTAGATTCATGTGCTTGAGTTTCCCACTTAATCCAATAGATGAGAGCGTATTGATAGAGGGACAGCGATTTGGGAATTGGATGACTTAAATCCAGTATATAGCATTAGATGACTGAATTCATATGAAGATAGTTTCCTTTATTTACAGGTTCTTTTCTAGGGACCAAACTTTCCCATTGAATGGAACCCATTGCAATGTGGCTTTGGTGAGTGGTGATGACGACATTATTACACACAAGAATTTGCCTCTCCATGGAGCTGAAACTTCAGTAGTTCAAGAGCTAAACCCCAATCCAAAAGCTTCAAAGCCAGACAAGGGATTAGTCTTACAAGAGAAGTCAAACACAAATTATCCCTTGCCTGTTTCTCAAATCGAATATAGACACTATTTTCCTTCTCTTGCTAGTATGATCACAGAAGTTGAATCGTCATCAAACAAAAGCATTAGTCCAAGAAAGGTGGAGTTGCCCGGGAAAGGCTCTGTTTCGGATGATGATAATATGTCCTCCAGTGGATTTTCTAAAGTCAATCTCGTGGTGAGAATGCCATTGCAACTAAGCTGGGCTGAGGTTGAAGAAATAACAGGTGGGTTCACAAGAATGACTTGCGTGGATGAGAATGACAGTTGCAAGTCATATTGTGGGTATTTAAGTGATCATCACTGCAGAGTTCTGGTTAAAAGATTCACCAGACAATTTGACTACAATGTCGAAGCTGAAAAGAAAGCAGCCTTGACTCTGCATCACAAAAATATACAGGGGTTGATTGGTTACCACAAGAGCGAAAGTGCTACAGTAGTTGTCTATCCTTTTACCAGAAGATGGATACTGGACAGATTTATCCATGGTAAGTTGTTTTCATCTTTTTCACCTAGATCATATCGTATCCTAATAAATAAAGCCTTCCAACATGAGAGAAAGGTGCAATGTGTATTGATTTGTGTCTTTGCTGGAGCAGGATCAAAGGGAAAGCAGGTCAAATTGACATTTCAAGAAAAAATAAAGATAGCAATAGGAATTGGTCAAGGTATTCGATACATGCACGAAGGATGTCCTCGGGGCCCTATTGTTCATGGTGACTTGCGGCCATGCAATATTTTCCTGAATTTTGACTTAGAGCCACTGGTAAATATCCCAAAATCAGAGAAATCTTGTGAGATAAATGTTTTGGTTCTAAATTCATAGCCTCTGATTTCTTTTCTTTCTTCTCAACCACCTTTCCTTTTTTTTCATTTTTTTTTTCCTTCCCTGGTTGTATAGATCTTTGGATTTGGGAAATCTACATGGCTGCAGCTAAAACAAGCCTTACCAATTTCTAGTAACAGGTTTGCATTTACATGATTTACCAAGTCACTCAAATGTCAATTTTATCAAGTTTTCAGCGGCCATTTAATCGGCAGTGTTTGAAATTTTATTTAACTCAAAGAGGACATTTTTTTGTATGTTAAAAAGGTTATGGCACAAGGATCCTTCAGATCCTGAATCCTTGGCTCTGGTAAAATCCGACATCTTTCACTTTGGAATTCTGCTCTTAAGGTTGTTTTGTAGAAGATCTGCCCCGAAGGATGACAAAAAATTTTTTGATTGGGTTAGTGGGCAGTTTTTTTTTTCTTCTTCAAGTTCCCTTTTACAAGCACACATACACATATTACTATTACTTCTACACCTAAAAACACTATATTTTGTTTTTGTAGGTCCGACCATTGTTGGTAAAAGGAGCATACCATGAGTTGCTGGACGAAGGCATGGAGTACCTGGACATGTATGGAATATATATGGTGATGTGTGTTGCTGCTCAGTGCATAAAGACTAATCCGGTTTCAAGACCTAGTATAAGCGAGGTGATACTGCTGAATTAATTACCATGTCCGGCCTTTTCAACTTTGGAGACATAAAGGTCATGATTTTACTAAATTAAAATCTGATTTTCCAGGTAATTTCACTTCTTCAGGGAGAAACTTCATGTGCTGTGGAATTATCCCCATTGTCTGATTTTAGCCCAAATATGGACTTGAGCAGGTGCCTCAGTTAGTCGATTTCTGTGCAATTTATGCTCTCAGGGATGCCATTTTCAGCTTGGCCTAGGTACCAAAATAAGATGTGCAAAAATTAATGTCAACCGGAGTTGGCAAGTGGTTTGTAAAATTTATGAAAAATGTATAGAAGAATAGAAGCTATTTGGGTTCTGTAATTCTTTGACTGGCTAGCCAGAACAAACATTTTTAAACAAAAGTGTAACCATTTAATAGCTTTGCTTAATATTCTCTAAAAACTATGCCCTCTTCATCATGTCATCTTGCTGCTTTTTTGCTATCACTCATTGTCATGGCTTGAACACAAACAGTGCTGCACATCTAAAGATAAAGTCTAGATTGACTTCTATTAGTATTACAATTTCAAATTAGCTTTTGTGTGTCTCATGTGTACGAAAAAAAATTATTTGTGCATTCACTAGATGCTTGCCTCCATTACGGTCATTGTTCAATTTGAAGTTACAAATTCTGCTTAAAAATGAGATGGATACAAAGGCTTGGCAAATGTAAAGCACTCCTTCAAATTAGAACCATCCGGAACATAGTACCTTTAGGTTGTGTTTGTTTGGGGACAAGGCCATGGGATTGGACCATATATCTTTTGGTCTCAGATCCCGTGTTTGGTTACAAAATTGGACTTTTGGATTGACAAGTTTCCTTTAGCAGAAGTTAAAAACATATCTCCTTCTATTTTCTTGTAATCAATTTTTTTTAGTTTATTAAAATTATTTATATCACATAAGCTATACCAAACATTCTAATAGAGATTTCTTCCCAAAAAAAAAAAAAAAGAGTTATAAGCAATTTCATAAGACTGAAATACCCTCGAACACCATTGTGGCGTATTTCAAATGTGAGATATCCTAAGAAATTGGTGAGATTATGACTATTAATCATGGGAGTCCAACTAAACGAAGATGGCCTTAGGAACCACTTCCGTATTGGGTAGAAACTAGTGAGTTGGATTGGATCCACCCACTTAATTTATAATGGAAACCTCCTGGTAGTAAACATTGTAGCATGCACAGGGCATGAATTGACTTGAGGTTGCGTTGCTCGCTTAAAATCCAATGAAAGCTAGTGCTTCATATGAATCATATCATATCTAGTCAATTTTTGTTTTTTCCTATCAAGGTTGATTTTTCCTATAATTTTTTTAGAATAATATGTTGTATGACTAAGATTTAATATTCAGATATAACAAATCATTTTAAAATTTTCAACATTAAATCTCAACAATACAATTCAATAAATTAGAGTTTGCAGTTGTTTTGGTGGAGGAATAGTAAGACTTTGGTTCCTTGACGACTCCATTGGGGACCAACTCTTTCTACATAAGATAATTTGCAATTGCCATTCCATCCTCTCCACACCATGTGCATCACACATATGCTTTAGTGCTTCCTTTAGAGAGGGAGGGGTATATTCTTGCTGTTGTAGCTGCTGTTGACTAGTTGAGATTTATTGGAAGAAGATGACAAATGGGTTTATGTTCCTTTTTTAGGTGGAATCTTACTTAAACCTTTATTAGTCAACTGCAAGTGTCATTTCACACCCACTTTTCGTCCTTTATTGCATTTTCTTTTTGTTAATAGTAAAACCAATACAAACCAGTGCTTTTATTATTTACCATCTTTTCTTTTTGTAGGAATGGCAACAAAATATGTAGGTCCTCTGCTTTTAATTTTACTAAAGTATTTGCACTTGGGTCATTTTATAATCCACAATAGCCCAGTGTATTGAGGTTTCTATTTGTACTTGAGTACCAACATTATGTTTTGTTAGAACACAAGGGCATATAATATGAGCTCACATGCTCAAAACCACTGCTTAATATTGTTTTTGGTGGTGCTCTTCATTATAACATTGACCGTGGTTTGTCAATATATATATTATTCATATTCTTATAATTTATTATGTCCTTTCGTATTATCTAATCACTTAATACAAAATCATAAGTCTTACATTCTCCATTATTTATAATATCTTGTCGTACTATAGGAGTAACCAATAACTTCTCGTAATTAGTGCTCTAATTGAAGCAAGAAAAACAAGGGTTTGGCTCCCCATTGTTGTTTGGGTCCCAAGTAAAGATTTCATTTTGATAATTAGAACGATATATTTATTTTTCATCATTAAATTCTACTTGAATATATTCTTACTAAGTGATGATATATAAATATAAATTTTATATAGAATTTCAAACACAATGATATATTTTAATGGTGACCTTTCACTTTAAAACAAAATACTCATAAACATAATTTATATTTACAACAATAATACTATCACAACATTTTTATGATATTTTTTTATATAAATTTTTATATATGAATATAATTTTTCATTTTTATTTCCACTATTATATATAAATTAGATCAATTTAATCTAAATATATTTAAAAAGTACAAAATTTGTATAATTTTTTTTTTAAAAAAAAAAATCATTGAATATAACAAAATAAGATAATATATTGAATTTATATATATATATATATATTTTATATTTGGTGAATTTAAAAAAAAATCAAAAAATATTATACATCTTAATTATATTTAGATTAGGTTTATCTAAAAAATTGTTTAAAATATTTTAAAAAATTCAGTAAAAATAAAAAAAAGTAAAAAATCTCAATTTTTTATGTGAGTTAAATAAAAAAAGATAGTTGTTATTTCTTTTAAAATGACATGAATAAAACATCTATATTATTTTATATGTATAAAGGTTAAGGAGTAAATATGTCATTTTAATCTAACAAAGAATAAATATAATTTTTTAAATATAAAAAAAGATTTATATTATACAAACATTTGAGCTATCAATGTAAGGAAAAAGCTTCGGGCCCTGGTTGAGGTATGGGGGTCGCGTATGATTGATTAAAAAAAATTATTTTTTATTTATATTTTTCACCAACTCCGACCCCACTGGGGTCTGAAGCACGGCTCATCAATGTAATTTATCCTAATATACTTAAGTTGTAAAACATTGGTAATGTTTTGGTTTAATGGAAGTATGTTGTAGAACTTACCTTGATATGGGAGTTGATTATGATATTGCATATGTTGGCTATATTGTAGAATTGGAGTTGTCTCATGTATATTGATTATGATATGAACTGTGGACCATGTATTTTGGAAATGGTTGGAAATGGAAGAAAATTGCATGTTGATAATGCACTTGTAATATATGTTGTGAAATGCCTCTTGAAAAGAGATGGAATTGACCGGCAATGGGTCGAAATGTTTAATATTATGTTGTAATGTTGTTGGGCATGGGGAAAGTCTATTTTTTAAACCTGTGTTTAATTTCGGGGACGAAATTCTTTAAGGGGGGGAGGTTATAGCGATCCCGGTTTTCCCTTTTCTTTAACTGTTGTACCCGGACTTAGGTTCCGTGGAGTTGGTTGTTGTATATGTCTTGTTTGCATCCTTTACTCCTTGCATTCGAGTCTTGGGTTGTGTTGGGCGAGTTTGAAACAGGTTGGTTGGACTTAGAAACCAAGAGTAGTTGCCCAGATTTTGGCCTTCACGCTCGAGCGAGGATTTTGACACTCGAGCGGGCCCTTCGTTGTTGTCTGTCCGCTCGAGCGGGGTTTCCGACGCTCGGGCGTAGTTTTCCATCTTCCAGTATCTCCTCTGCAGTGTTGCGTGCTCGAGCGGGGGTTTTGGCGCTCGAGCGGGATGTTGTGTGTGACGCTCGAGCGGAGAGGGTTGACGCTCAAGCGAAGGTACGGTTCTGTAAAAGTTCTGGGAGTGTGTATCCGCCACTTGAGCGGGATTGTTGACGCTCGAGCGGGAGTCTGTGACTGACCCTCGAGCGGGGGTTTGGACGCTCGAGCGGGGCGACTTTTATATAAATCCGAGATCCGACTTTTGGATCACTTTTTCAACTCCTTTTCGTTGTGTGTGACGCTCGAGCGGAGAGGGTTGACGCTCGAGCGGAGGTATGGTTCTGTAAAAGTTCTGGGAGTGTGTATCCGCCACTTGAGCGGGATTGTTGATGCTCGAGCGGGAGTCTGTGACTGACCCTCGAGCGGGGGTTTGGACGCTCGAGCGGGGCGACTTTTATATAAATCCGAGATCCGACTTTTGGATCACTTTTTCAACTCCTTTTCTCTCTCTTACTTTTCAAAACCTTCATTTGAGAGCTCCTCTCACTAGAACCTCAACTTCTCTCTAGGTATTGATCTAGCTAGGGTGTATTCCTCACCTTTGGTCTTTACAAAAGTTGGGTTGATCGTCGAGGGCTTTACATTGATCCGAAAATTTCGAGTTTTGGAGCACGTTGAGTTTCGTCACCATCTTCCCTTGAGCTCCGAATTTGAGGTAGGGATATCCTACTCCTCTTTATGAGTTATGTCTTTAAATTTTGGCATTTCGATATGTTGGGAGTTGTTGGGTAATTTTGAGAAAGTTCAGGCCTTTGTGTAATTTTACAAAAGTTGGGGTTTTAATCATATAAAACCTAAATGCATGTTTGGCATGGAAAAGTGAAATTAATGTTAAAACATTAATGAAAATGGAAC